AAAAAAAAAAGAAAAAACCTTTAAAAAAAAATCGTTTAAACTTTCAACTTTAAACAAGTCGTAATAACAATCTAACCAACCCAGGAAAACGCAACCGAGCCCGCTGCAGCTAAAAGGCACAAAGTTGAGATCCACAACATTTTCTGTAGATCCATTAAAAAAAAAAACCTAGGCCCGAAACCTAAACCCTAAAACCGAACCTGGACCCTAACGTAGACCCGAACCTAAACCCTAAACCCTAAATCCGTAACCCCTTTCCAACCCTAACCTACCAAGGTATGCTGCAGACCGTCAAATAATGAACGTTCACAAACCTACGATGAATGAATGAATGAATGAAGGAACGAATGAATGAATGGAATCTATACGCCGAACACTTGATTTCGTTCACGCGATGTAATAATGTGTGCGTTCTTCCCCCCCAACCCAGTGCCTCATCAGCGTGCACAAGTCACAGAAGGTGGGCACAGCAGCAGCTTAATAAGGGAAATAATGAAGTCCTTAATACTCCTTATGTCAATCATAGTGACACAAGAAGTACTCGATGTAATTCCAACGACTTATACCGGTGGAATGGGAACCGGACTGGACTGATGTTCCGAAATTACTAATATTAAATAAAATTAGAAACAAGTGCGAGATGGAAACACAAAGGTTCTGTTTTTTTTTTTTTTTTTTTTTTTTCCCTTAATAATTGGTAGTGCACAAGATGGTGGTGATCTCGCCTGGCAATCAGTGGCTATTGGCTATTAGCCATATATAATACAGATGACAAGTAGAAAGAACTTCAGAAACGGCTATTGGCTATAAGTTTATAACTAAAAAATCCACACACCCCCGCTATAGACTACACAGCACAAACAGCAACCGACAAAATAGCACTTGGCTATAGCAAGCTGTAAATAGACAAAGGCTGCACACTAGTACCGACAATAGGCTATCCTCATAGGGCATTCGTAATCAGTACAAGGCCTGTTGCTTGCACAGAAAAAGATGTGTGAGGCATTCCTGGTGCTGAAGACTCACCTGAAGATTCCTCGAAGCAAGCACTCTTGAAAGGAGATAGAGTCTGATGGACCCAAAGATCGATTGATCGATATGCAGATAGATGGAGAACCCCCCTCCCCCTCCACCCAACCCACGCTCCCCACACACACAGAACCCTCAAAAACGTCCCTTGCGCCCTCTCTCTCTCTCTCTCTCTCTCTCTCTCTCTCTCTCTCTCTCTCTCTCTCTCTCTCTCTCTCCCCGTGTGTGTGTGTGTGCTCGCTATCGCTCTTCACGCGGATGCCAGAGGGCGGCCGAGAGGAAGGCTATTGATTTTAGTGTCGGGGCTTCCTTGCACCTTGATGCGGACTGGGTTGGGACTGGGCTGGCCAGATGGAGACCGGGGCAGGCCAAACAAGTACAGCCTGACTTTATTTCTATGTCAAAAAAATAATAAAAGGAAAAGGACAACATGAATATCTTTTATCTTTTCTCGGTCGCACAAAGTCCACAAGCAGGCGCAATTACGCCATGCCTCTGAAAGTGGATCAGGCTCTCGGTGCATCTGGCAGTAGTAAAACGGCCAGATCCCACTGGCAAAGAGGATTGGCAGAAACGTCTGAATCTGGACGTGTTTGTGGACACGTGCAAAAAATTGTGATTGACCTACTTTTCTGTCCCTCTGCGTGGAACATGTCCAGATTCAGACATTTCTTCCAATCCTCTTTGCCAGAGGGATCTGGCACAAAGCCAAATTCTCACTCGTTTGAGATTCCAGCGAGTGAAATTGGCTTTCACTCGTTGGAATCTCAAAAGATTAAAAGAGTCGACCCTACTCGACCCATCGGAAATTCGAGACGCTGACTACGATCTTCTCCCAAACATAACCGCACCCTGCTAATGAACGTCTACAAAGTATCTTTCCCGTCAAGTACAGCCCGAATGAGAGTGCGACGTGCGTTGTGTTGAGCAGAGGACGGTAGCTGAAAGGCGGGGACACAAGAAGCCCTGCCTTTAACGCACAGAAATGTGCTTATTCTCAGGCCATCCCCGGATGCACCCGACTGTAATCCAGGGCTGGATGCACCCGACTGTAATCCAGCCCTGGATGCACCCGACTGTAATCAGGTCCGAGAGAACGTGAGGGAATGTATCTGATCAGTTTCACGGTCAGCCCTCGATGCACCTGACCGCAATCAGGTCCAGGGCCCGCAGGAGTGATTGGAAGCGATTGCAAAAGCATGAGCACAAAGTGCAACAAACACAAAAATGAACGGACTGTTTTTCAGACTTTTTCTCCATTTCAAAAAAAAAAAAAAAAAAAAGAGTAATAGGCTAATAGCATTAAACTTGACTAAAGTGATAGAAGACGAAAGCAGATTTTCATAAAACAGAAAAACGCAAATTGATGCGAGATTCAGTGAGAATGCAAAAATACACAGTTCACCATAACCGTCGGATGAAATCTGTAGACGTTAAATTAACTTTACTAGACAAAAAAAAAAAAAAAAACTCGGTAATCAACACAAAAGCCACAATGGAAAAAAAAAAAATCAAAACAAAAAGTCCGCCGGAACATCCATTACGATTGAAACAATACAAAGAAGATTAGCACACACACACACACACACACACACACACACTCTCTCTCTCTCACACACACACACACACACACACATTTTCTCTGTCTCACACACACACTCTCTCTCTCACTCTCTCACACACACATTCTCTCTCTCCCTCTCTCTCTCTCTCACAGACACACACACACACACACAGACACACACACACAGACACACACACACAAGGGTGAGGGTTTCTACCTGGAAGCCAGCAAAAAACATAATACTGATAAAATAATTAAAATAAAAAATAAAACATTTTCTTGAATTTCTTCCTGATTTTTTGAATAATTTGTATTTCAATTCCGATTCATGTTCGATAAGAAGAAAAGGAAGAGATTCAAAGCATGATAGCAGTACAGACATTGCGAATAACAAATTTGTCCCAGTTCCAAAGTTCCAATGGAACTACTACGATTTGGATCGCCCAAGTCCCGAATCCCGAATTTGCACTTTGGACTCAGAGATTTCCCTGAAATACTGCGCACTCTGAATGCATACAACCTACAAGGTTGGTCCAATACAGTCGTCGTGTCAAGGGTGCCTTCTTCTCGACTTTGCTCAAAGAAGTCACAAAGTACCATCTTCATCCGAACGGAACACACAGCCATTAACCCTGTATCTAATAAATATAAATACAGCTGTAATGACCACATGCGTTCTTCTATTCGGGTGAACACAGCACACTTTGTCTCCTTCATTAGGTTCGTTGTCGAAGTTTTGCACCTCAACTTTCCACTCTATCAGGTCTGTGGTTAAGTCTGTCGTTAAGACACCAGTACATGCCAGCTATCGGCCGTGGGCCAACACTAGGATAAAGGATACCAAACAGGACGCCGGTGGCGAGCGGAGGGAGAGGGAGGGAGAGGAGGAGGGAGGGAGAGAAGGTGGAGCGCACATGGGAAAAGGCAATCACACTAGGATAAAGGCAAAGGATAGCAAACAGGACGCTGGTGGCCAGCGGAGGAAGAAGGAGGGAGGAAAGAAGGGAGGGAGGGAGGGAGGGAGGGATGGAAGGAGAGAAGGTGGAGCGCCGATGGGAAAAGGCAATCATACAAGCTTATCCCACAAGGAAATAGGCAACGGAGGACGGCTGAAAAAGAAAGAAAACCACAGGTTTCAGAACAAGGCCGGGAGCACTAATACACAATAATAATGCCTCAAAAAAAAAAAAGAATTGTATCCCATCTCTGCGCCGTCAACTGGAGTCGTTGCGACAGGGGGTTGAGCGAGGAGGAGGGGATGACTGTGAAGAAACAAACATTGGTTTTCAGAACAAGGCCGAGACTGCCAGTATACAGTAATGCATGAAAAAGAACCACGAGTACTTTCGAGACTCTTTTTCCCGAGGATCGGAAGGCCCTGAGCGCCACAAGACCAGGAACCGGTGCAGGCGGGCCTCCTTTTGGCCGGCACTGCCAGCCATTTTGCTCCGGCAGCTGACCCCCGGTGGGTTGTAGGGGGGGTGGGGG